GTAGACCACACAGAAAGTACACAGTCTGACTGTACACAAATACCCCTTCAAGCATTTTGACCTGATAAGAAATGGCAAGAAAACTGCCACTGCCGTCGGTTCGCTGCGCAATTCACCAGTGTCTCCAACCAACTCGTTACGCAGTGTTTTGGACCCCGATCTGGTAGGTAAGAGACACCTACTCTGCCTAGTCGCACTGTGTATTTCCTCATGCGTAGCCTCTAGGTCATCTGTGCACCTTCACATGGTTCTCTCCGACCCGGAGTGCTGACTGAGTATAAGACCTGGTGTGATAGATGACAGCTGGGCGCACGCAATACGTGTCCTAACCAGTGAAGTCAACCAATATGAATTCAATGCATCAGTGAACTTGTAACTAATACATTTTCAATGATACGACGGCTTACCTTCAGACGGATAACCCGCTCACTCCATCCGGCCTGCGCCAAACTGCGTAAGCAGCGATTGTCGAAAATCTGTAGTCAAATTTTCAACTCGAGAGAAATGTCAATCGATACCAAATATGTTTCGGCCCTACTTATGCCACTCGAGCCTTAGAATTTCTTGTGGTTATCTCCTTTACTGCGCTACCATCATTCGTTACTCCACTGCCTAGGTAAGAGAAACTGTCACCTATAGCGAATTACTGACCGTCTAGTCTCAAAGCTATACTAGTCTTGTAACATCGAAGGCGCAGAGCGCAGCCGAATGGAGCAACAAAACTTGTCCGTCTGTCAAGTGCACTTTGTGCGTCCTCCATACATTCGAACAGACAGACGATGTCATCGGCGTACTCTAAATCGCACAGCTTTTCGCCTACTGCTCATTCAGTATCAGCACTTTGGAGAGTACTTGGTACTTTTTCCAGTGTTTGGTCTACTACGAAATTGCAAAGGGATGATGTGATAGGGCACCGTTGACAAACACCGCTACTGCCGATAGACGTGCTGCGTGGACCACTGCATACCTTTGTTCCCACTGTAGTTGTTTGCTTTCCATGTCTTTCTGTTCTATACCCCAACCCCTCATCTTCTGTTATTTTTCTTGTTTTCCATCGGGTGATAAATACCTATGTAGTGGAATTGTGTGTACAATTTCTTTATTGATTAATTTGAACAGATTATCCATCGGACTTCACCTTCACGCACAATCCCCAGTTCATCAATTCAAACCACACACTTGGAAGCACCAGACTCGATTTTCACTCAGCAGTATTGCATATTCACCATCTCATCCGGGATTTGAACTCCGGACCCATCGCAGGGAAGGCGTGTGCGTTACCACTGTGCCAACCAGCTCAACCACGGCGGAACCGAATTGCCAAGTAGTGTTTGTTCAGGTGTCGTCTTTAGTGATAGTCGTTCAATTAATTTGGCCCGACATCAACAAAGGGAGACACAGATGACAATCTGTTAACTCCAATCGAAAACCTCCCACCAAGTCAGGACTTCCATGCAGGTTACGGGCTGACTTACCACAAACCTTCCAGGCTCGATTGATTATTCGCATTTAACTCGCAGTTACTTGTGAGTAGGTTAGGAACTGAAGATAGCCTCACCGTCGACTGAGTCAAAAACTCTTTTCATATCAAGGAACAATGCTGTTGTTGATTGACAGTGAATGTGTCGGAGCTCGATAACTTGACGCAAAAGGTCACAACACTCACCACGAGACTGGAGTCCGGCCTATTGGTCTCTCAAATGTATCACGTCGACGTAAGTTAGTACTATGGTGGCCATTAGGATCAAAACGTTTGCGCATTCTTTGCAAGATCCCTTCTTGGAAATTTAAACTATCATGCATTCACTCTAAGATGATGCAACTGTACTCCACACAGTATCGCCGCATTTGAGGGGAATTGATCAAATAATGCAGGACCCAGATCACCTGTGTCGTTCATTCTTTGCCTTGTCGCCCAACTCGCACCTGAGGGGACACTCATTCAAACTAGTGCTCCAAAAATGCCGGCGTCATTCAATCTCCCTCAGATAGTGCACTACTTGGAATTGTCTGCCACCACACGTTGTTTCTGCGCCGATAATTGATTCCTTCAAGCACAAACTGGATGAAGCTTTGACAAGTTTTAAATTCCAACAACTTTGAACCGTGAATCGCTTCATCTGTGCTAAACCCAATAGGACTAGAAAAGCAACCGCTTGTAAGTATTTCCCATAATAAAACTTTGACTTTGACAGCTGTTTTAAAAAGTTCTTCAGTGGAGCTTACGAACTCATCGCCCCCATTTTTAAAAACAGTGAGGAAGGGTTCGCCAAGTCCTGCTGATTTTCTTCTCATCACAGCTTGTAAACAAGACCGTACTTCCGCTTCTATTCGAGAACCCCATGACCCTGTTCACGGAGTATCCGATTCAACAGACTGGAAAATCTGAATAGCGCCAGGCCAGCTGAGATGTTCGTTGAGATACTTCGCCCACCGGTCAGGTCGTCGTTCCTTACTATGAACAACTTGATCATTTTTTATCGCAGATTGTTCCACTAATCTCGCTCGTTTATCAGTTAGAACACAATATGTCTATTCTCTGTTGCGGCAGTTACTTATGCGACTGAACTCTGTCTATTGCCATTTCCGGCATCTTGTTTAGCTCGCTGTTTCATTGTTGAATGCAAGCCATTGCAACACTTGCTGATGGGTTCCCTTCTGCCGTCAAGCAAACTATTGATAGACAGATCCAATCAAAACTACACATAGTGAGGAAGTGCACTTGTATCAGAAGCTCCGTGCACTGAACATTTGTTGATCTAGATCAGCACCGGCGCCATATCCCTGCAGCTATGTGGTAGCTCATGTCTTCTTGTTCTTATCCGTGGCCGTTACATGGGTTACAAATGAAGCGCTTGTGTCATACATGTTTCTATGAGCTACACATGCCCGTATAAAACCCCTGAGCGTTGAATTGAGTAACATCATTTATTGTAAGAGTAATGCCTTCCTTAATCACTAAACCGCTTCTTGGGGTTTACTTACGGGGTTCTGTGGCTGTATTAGCTGATAGTTTTTACCGAAAAANAGCCGGCAAATCAACGATATAGTCAAACAAAGTGGCATATAACTTGTGTCACACACATCTACTCTGCGAGTTGTAGCAACAAATCTTTTATCTTTCTCTCTTTTTTCTTTTCGTTTTACTTCCTTTCGGTGAATATACAAAGATACAATTTTCAGGAAGGGGGAAGCGGCCAATCAAAGTGCTGCCATTCAACACACACAATGGGGTAGTCAGGCAATGGTGGTTGGATTCGAATACACATACCTGGGGTGATCATTTTTTGACGTTAGCACCGGGCCACCACTACCTTGGTGGTGATTGATTTCCAGTAATTCGCGTTTTGTTATCAGATCTTGCCTGCCTCATTTGAATTACGAACTGTCGCCGTAGCTTTCTCAAGCGTGTGTTACGTTGCCGTTCCTAACGGAAATTTTCTAACTGATTGTTGGTATTTACTCATGTATTTATTCCCACTTTACATTCATGCAGAACTTAGTTGTTTGATGCACATATGACTTTATGACTCAGCATTTTACATAATGGCCATCCTACACGTGTAATTATTGCGTGTTAAATATGTGGCGAGCCACCGCAACAGCTTCAATCTGTTACCTTGGTGGTGGAGGTGGTCGAGCGGTTCGATTCTTTGTTATTGGTGTGCCCCGGGACTGAAGTTCGAGATTCGATTCCTGCCTGTGGTTTGTTCTCGTTTGGTCCAGTCCGATTGGTTTCCCTATCCTGAGCCCCGCGGGTTACGATACTGGTTCCTGGAATTGAACGATAGATTCTCATCGCTAGAAGGCTCACGCTT